AGTTTAATAGTTCGATTATGTATCGAAAGTTATATTATATTTTGATTGTATTATTAGTAATAGGTCATCGTGTATGTTACATATCATTAAAGCTTAATAAAAATATTTTGAACTTCGCCATTAAATTAGATATTTAAGGCCCGGCTATTATGTTATGCATAAAGTATTTTTGAAGTAAAGCTTAAAAACTATATGATGGATAAATTTTTATTTTTACTATAGTAATTTAAAGAGTTGTACCTGAAGATATTTTTTAGATATTGTTTTAAAAAATAAATAATTTAAATAATTATTAAATTGAAAAAAACTAAAAGATTTTAAAAAAAGCTGTCGATTTTACTTCACTAATTAGACTTAGGTAAAGGGTGGGTGTCATACATTGCTTGTATAGAACAAATGGTTTTTTATCGTTTCTCAAGCGCACAAAATAAATTGTCTTTTATCGTGTACATAGGTTTTTTTTAATATTTAAAATAGAAGTGAAAAATTATTCGCTTAAGTATAGACAAATAATAATAATGGCAAAAGGCGCATTATCGTCATGCTATTCGTTTCGACTATATGTTTTTGTTTGACTTAACGAACATGTGCTGAAAAATAATTTATTTTAACTCTCACTATAAGTTCTATATATTTTAAGTTTCAAAGAAATTTTTTTGGTGCAAAAACAATCTTATTGGTAATTGATTCGTTATAATTTGGCGGACATGATCGAAAAAATCCTTTTCTAAAACACTATAAAATAATCTTAATAACCTATATTTGTCACTCATCAGTTTTTTTATATTAGCCACAAAAATTTAAGGACGGTGTATAAGTTAGGAAAAACTATTAAAACTATATATAAAAAAAAAAAATAATCTTTATTTTCTTTAAATAATTACAATTTTTCTGAATTTTAGAGGGACTAACTCTTATAAAAAAAACTATGCCCTATTCTAAACCGATTTATCATGATGTCTTATCAGGGATCAAGGAAATACATAAAAACATTTTTACACCCCCTCCAAAATATTACATAACAAAATATAGTATTTAAATACATAATTATTACATATATACATAAATACATGTATAATTATTTTCGTTGTGAAAGGGTTTTATTACCCATCACCGACAACTGTAAGAACACTTATTGTCGATAGTCAACTTCTTTTAGCTTCGATGCGAAGCTGAGAAGGTATTGGTTTTATTATGATGTGTTTTTTTTTTTTTTTTTAATGTCAGTTACCATTTTTTCTCAGCTCTCACCGAACGGATTTCTTTCAACGATACGTCAAAAGATCACAAATCGTATCTAGTCGAAGACATTACCCTTAAAAATTGAAAAAATTTCCCTCGTTCCCAGTAAATGGGGGAAACCTCCAAAAAAATTACAAATTTAAATATCGCTAATTTTCGAATTTTTTTCAATTTTTTTTACTAAAAACTGCCGTAACTTTTTCAAAAATGAACATATCAATATATTTTTTTTTTATAGATGCTTAATGTCTTTACCTATCATTTGGTATATTTTTTTTGTAAATTTGACCTTTTTTCTGCCCACAGGGGGGGATTTAAAATGACAACTTTTTCACAAAAAATTAACTTTTTCAACTTAACTTTTGAAAATGTTCCGGAAGGTCTGACACTTTTATATATATCTTAAATTAAAGCTAATGTAATGTACTTTAATTTGAAAAAAAAAAATTTGACCTTTGAACTTGTCTTCAAGTTGGTAACGGCTACCGAATGCTATTTTTGTGTGAAAATTTTCGATTTTATAATTTACATTTTTTACTTTAAAGTGCTATAACTTTTTAAAAAA